GGGAGTTGAAGTCCACAAGTCTTAAAAGTTGCCAAGTTTGGAGACCTGCGAGTCTGGCTCTTTTCCACCTTTTCCCCGCAGCTAGGATAGTCCCCTGAAAGGCTGGAGTTCCACCCACTCACACAGACACACAGACACACGCCCAAACACACAGAGCTCAACTTTACAGTGACCCACTCAAGGATGGTGGGGTGGGGTGGGGTGGGGGGCGGCCGTGAGTCTGGATTTGATCTCTCGACCTTTATTCATCTTCGTTTCTCATTTAAACCCCTTCTCCGGGCTGCTTTCCAACTGGGTTCCTTCCTTCTCCATCATTCCATTTCGATCTCTTATTGAATGATTGGATCCTTTCCATTTCCCTCTCTCTCTCCCCCCCTCCCCCACACCCCCAGATTTGGTGGTGACTGTGAATTGTCCCCAGTTCATCCCAGTCTGTGCGAGGCCCCTTTTTTTCATGCAGGCCAAGGGGGCAGCTCAACCCCAGAAGGTTGGGAGGGAAGCCGGGGTTACCCCCCCTCATCTCTCGGGGTAGCCTCTTCCTGAAAATTAGAGGAGGCAAAAGCAGTGGGCCTTTTAGCCCCGGGGGAGTATGCTGAGGAACAGATTAACAGAGTTGGAAGGGACCTCGGAGGTCTTCTAGTCCAACCCCCCTGCTCTGGCAGGAGACCCTAGAGCAGTGATGGCTAACCTTTTGGGGCTCCTGTGCCAATAATTATGTGTGCACTGGCGCACGCGCATTCACATGCCAGAACCCAGAAGGCAATGCGCACACCACCCACACCCCCTGTGCATGTGTGCACAATTCCTCCATGCCGCTTCCCCCCCCCCCACCCCCTTCCCCGCCCCACCCCCCCCAACTGATTTTCAGCCGGTTTGAGGCCTTTTTCGGCCTCCCAGAGGCTTGAAAAAAAAAGCCTCTGCAGGCTTTTCAGGATGGATAATAGGCCCATTTCGTCCCTTCCGGTATTACAGGAAGTGATGAAACGGGCCTATTATTCGGCCTGCAAAGCCTGCAGAGGCTTTTTTCAAGCCTCTGGGAGGCCGAAAAAGGCCTCAAACCAGCCAAAAATCAGCTGTGAGGCACGCACATGTGCAGTGAGGTAAGTTGGCCTGCGGCTCGCATGCCGGCACAAATGGCTCTGCGTGCTACCTGTGGCAGGCATGCATAGGTTCGCCATCACGGCCCTAGAGTCTACTCTAGACCATCCCAGGCAAATGGCTGTCCAGTCTCTTCTTAGCCCTCCCATTCCACTTCTGAATTCAGTTGCCATTTTTATGCTTCAGCTGAAGCTTAACGGATCATGATTTATCACTTGTTGCTTGCGTGTACGCTGAGTTTATGGCCAAATTCCTTGCGTGTCCCAGTCGCAGGTGGCCAGTAAAAAAATTCTAATCCTCATTCTAATGCCCACCCAAGTCCGCAAATGCTTTGCAATGTTTGCTTGAAGAAGATCTATTTCTTCCGCCGATTCTCAGCCCAAGGATATTGATTGCTTCTAGTGAACATCTGGGTATCCAGTTCTTCCCAGGTCCCTGCCCAGGCAACGGTGGAGAAAGGGAAGGGCTGGGATTTCTTGGGAAAGCAGGTGGGATGCCAAGGCTTGCAAAGTGACTAGTCTTAAATAGAGCAGGGCTCTCCAACCTTGGCCACTTTAAGACTTGTGGACTTCAATTCCCAGTGTTCCTCAGCCAGCAAAGTCCACAAGTGGCCAAGGTTGGAGACCCCTGAAATAGAGCACCGCCTGCATTTCCTTCTGTTTTAAGATGGGAGACGCCAACAAGAGTCCACCAAGCGCTAAGGTCAACCCCTTCTGCCCACCTTCCTCCTGCTCTGCTGCCCCAGAGTCCCCGCTGACCATCCCAGGACCTTCCTTGGATGCTCCTGCCTGTTCTGACCCAAGCTTCGTCTGACTTAATGAAACACAAACTTATTTTAAAAGCAAAACCTATTTTAATGCAACGCTGGGAATTACTGGCGTTCTTAGCCAGAACTAATTATAAACAGTGCCCCCCAGATAACAGCATGCCTTTCAGTGCTGTGCAATGCTGCCTTTCAGAACAGAAGGCCAATGAATTATAACATAAACCAACCAAAGTCCCAGAAAAAAAAAAAAAACCAGAATACGAGAGCTTCAAGGGACTCAGAATATATTGCTTTGCTTCCTGCAAAGTGTTCGTCCTTGAGGTCTGACTTTTATCCCTTATGGGAGAGGCAATCACCTCCAAGCCTTGCTCCCGAGTCACCCCTTCTGCTTCAGCTGCTCTCGCCTTCTAGCAGCTCTGCGCACACGCAAACTAGGAACAGGCTCCCCTGGGTCCTCTGCTTCGCTGCTGCCAGACTCCGAAGGCTCCCAAGGCAGCACCCCACTCCCAGATGGTCCTGGCCCCCTCCCTGCATCGGATGCAGGAACCTCGTCCAAGTCCTCTCCAGACTCCCTGACTGGTTCTCTTTCGTCCTCACTGTCTGATACCTCTGCCGTCTGCACCAGCTGCTGGCGAACCACAACACTGCCATAACCTTTGACTGGAACTGAACCTCCCTCCCCGGACAGCTGGGTGTCCAGTTCTGCTGGTTCCTGGGCAGCAACTTCTCAAGCATCCAAAGAAAGCCATCATCCTGCCGGCTCTTCTTACTTCTTCCGGAGGAGGCCTACAGGATGCCAAGGCTCAAAAGACGGCGGCCGTGTGTGCCCAGAGTTGCAAGCGCAGACCTCCTAATGGAAACAGATGACCGTGCTGGGCCCACGGGGATCATTCACACCCCTCTTTGTCATGGTGGACGTTGAGCGATGGCCCCGCGCAGGCCCTATTCCAATAAGTCCTCCCTGTCAGCTGAGAGATGGATGGGCTCCTCGGAGGGGGACGGGAGGCCGGCAATTCGTCATCCGTGGCTCAGCTTTAACATTTGGGGAAGGCGATGTGATCCCAGCCCACGGGCGGCCCCTGCCACTTGCCAACCGGGGTCTCCTGGCACACGGGGCGTCCATCCTGCTTGCATGAAGGGGGGGGGCAGAGAGCCGAGGTGATTTACGGCCGGCTCTTCCTAATTGCATTCCAGCTGGCAGGAAAATGGATGGACTAGTCTGCCTGATGGATGGCTCGCCCGGTTCTTCATTCGGTTAGGTGGCCTAATGCAGGCACCCTGGGAAGGGAGGAGGAGATGGGAGGGGCTGCTGCAGGAGCAGAGCCTGTCTAGACCACTGGTGCCCGGCCTTTCCAGCTTTGCAGACTGGCAGGGCGGGGCAGAGGTGGGTATTCAGCAGGTTCTGACCAGTTCTGGAGAACCGATAGCGGAAATTTTGAGTATTTCAGAGAACCGGCCAATGCCACCTCTGACTGGCCCCGCCAACCCCATCCCTTCTCTGCCTCCCATTGAGTCCCAGCTGATCGGCTGGGTCTCCTTTGCTTGCCCTGCACAGGAGAATGGAGCTGGAAAGCAGGTTAGTGGGGTGGGGGGAGGGAAGGGGGATTTTGCAGTATCCTTCCCCTGCCATGCCCACCAAGCCACGCCCACAAACCTGGTAATACAAATTTTTGAATCCCACCATTGGGTACGGGGAGGTAGGGGAATTTGTTCCGTGTGAATGGCAGGCATGTGCAGCTTTCACGCATGGAAGCGCAAGTGTCCACTGCTTGTATAAATGGAGCTGCACACAGGTGCATCAGTGGTGGGATTCAAATTTTTTTTACTCCTGGTTCTGTGGGCGTGGCTTGGTAGGCGTGGTGTGGCTTGGGGAACTCTGGGAGTTGAAGTCCACAGGTCTTAAAGTGGCCAAGGTTGGAGACCCCTGATCCAGGTCGTGAGTGTCCCAAAGGTGCTCCCAAAGAACTGAAGAAGTTTCTTAGATGAGAAGTGAAACGTTTTCAAGGGGGGGAAAAAAAACCAAGGCAGTCCAGTTGCCATTTGGGGATAATGTTCAGTAACCCCTATGGAGTTATTTGCAACAAACGCTTTGAGGATTTGTTGCTTTCTATAGGGAAACACACAAAGGAGCAGCACTCCAAACAGGTACATTCATACAGCTTTTAATAAAAGTTACAACAGGAGGAATATATGTACAGTTCAAATCCACATGCTAATATTTAACGCGGTTTAATTGGCAAACCCCACACGGTCCCATTTTACCTGCTGGATCCAACAGCTGCATTGCCCGGCCAGGGGAGGGTCCTTTATACAAATCCCAAGTTTTCCACTTTGTGCAACAGCTTGTGCAAAGAAAAAAGAAGAAGAAACCACCGCCTCTATTTCCCACCTTAGTTTCAGAAACAGCCACCCCAAATAGCTATCTGGAAAAGCCCACATGTGTGTGTGTGTGTGGATGTGTGCACAGACATACGTTGTGTGCATAAGCAACTCATAAAGGACCCCTTGAGAAGCTGGGATGTCGCAGGACGTTGTGGCTGAATCCAAAGGGTCCGCTTTTCAAATGCTTTCCCAGTTGGTGGCCAGTTCAGCCACTGCAGCCACCTCCTTGGCCACCGGTTCAAAAGGTAGCTTGTAAATTTGATTCCAGGGCACCTCAAAAAGGTTGAGAAAACTACTCAGAAGAGAAAAAAGAAGCGGGGGGAAAAGGGTTTGCAACTCTGGCAAAAACGGCTGGCGGACGGCCATGAATCCTCCTTGTGCAAGAAGAGTCTCGTTGGGCAACTCCTGGAGGGCTGCCAGACCCCGCCTGAAGTTGGAGCCCCGAGCCCCTCTCCCTCCCAACGGACTGGTGGGATTGCTCCCCTCTCCAAAATGACTGAAATTTTAAAAAAAGTCAGACACTAATAGCCTCATATACTCAGTGGTGGGATTCCAAACCTTTTGCCATCGGTTCGGTGGGCGTGGCTTGGTGGGCGTGCTTTGCGTGCGTGCGTGCACATACTTTATTGCACGCGTGCGCCAAACACACACTTCACGCAGGGGCAGAGGCGTTCCAACTCATCTCCTGCAAGCCTGCACTCTCCCGGTCGCTTCAGCAGTTGCCGCGCGGCAATTGCTGTGCCGCGCAAAACAGCTGCGCTTCAAAAGCAGAGGATCAAGGTGAGTGTGGGAGCCCAAATGGGTGGGCGGGTGAGGGAGCCCAACAGCAGAACGGCGGAGAGAAGCGGTTCGGTCTCCGCTGCTCATCGGCGCTACCGGCTCAGGAGAACCGGGCCGAACCGGTAGCACACCACCACTGCTCGATGGTGTCCTACGATGGTGGAGATAAATGGTGATTTTGAGAATTCAGCCACAAGAAAGAACCCAGTGGAGACCCTTCCTCTTTGGGCCGGGGCTCTCCATCTGTGGCAACTTTACGGTGCATGGCTGACTGAGGAATTCTGGGCGTTGAAGCCTACAGGTCTTAAAGCTGCCAAGACTGGAGATCCCCCCCCCCCATGGGTATTCAACCAAGTGCCAAACTACTCGAATCCTGGCTCTGAACTCCGAGGCCCAGAAGGGTGGGGAATGGACGGGCACGTCTTCGTAGAGAGGAGTGGGAGAGAGAGCCCTTCCAGGGAGCAGACCCTTCCCAAGGAGCAACCCTAAAAGATCTGGGGGTTCGTATCTGGTTAAGGAGAGGAAGAGGCACCACAAGCCGGGAGTTTTCTTACAACCGGCAGGAAATGGCAGGGCCCAGCCCAAAACAAGCCACTGATGGCCAACCTGATCACCCCCCCCCCCGCTTCCTCCATCCAAAGAGCTTGACCCTCTCCAAAAGGGGCGACCTCAGCGGGAGCCGCTCTCCCAGGTGCCAGGAGGCTGGTTCTGTGGGTTGGGGCCAGGGTGGGCTTGTTTGGGCTGCTGCAGAGAGAAATCAGCCTCTCTTTCCCCCAGGGGCAGGGAGACCCCTGGGGCACTGCTGAACTGGACAAGATCCAGGTGAAGCCCCTTGTCCTTCTCTGGATAAGGCAAACTGGGCGGAGGGAGTAGTGGTCTTTGGGCCCAGAGGCCAGGCTGGGTTTTGAACGGGGTCCCTTGAGGGGAGGGCAGCTTTGGCCAAGGCCCACACCCACCCCACCCCACCCCGGCCTTCGTCCTGAGGCCGTGCAGTCCTGCTCTCCTTGCCTGCAACCAGCAGGCCAGCCGATGTTCGGAGGTGGGTCCCAGCCCCTCTCCATGGTGAGATCTGCCTCCTCAGGGGGCCAGGTATCCCACAAGGCAGGTTGGCTTTGAAGGAAAGAAAGAAGATGACCAGGTCCCTCCAGGGCGGTCAAAAGAGGCCTTGGGCAGCTCCAGCTGGACCAAGGGTGGGAAGACTTTGGGGCTGGTCTTGGAGGCACTGGGGAGCTTTGTGTGGCCTCGGCATGAAGCTGGACTTTATAGACCCTCTAGTGGACAGCCGGCCATGTGGCCAGAGTTAAAGAGAAGAAGGAACTCCATGCCCTCAGGGCTAGGAGAAAGCCTCACGTAGAAGATGCCCAGCTGTGTTCCTCACTCCCAGACAAGACCCTCAAAGGCCCAGCACAGCAGAGGAACGGCAACCGGAAGGAAGGAAACAAGGCAGTGGGTGAGGAACTCAAGAAGGCCTGAGGAACTCATCCAACCCAACAGGGCCGAGGGGCTTTCTCTCCTCTCCATCTTTAGTGGAGATTGGGACACTGGCCTCAAAGTCTCCATCTCAGGACCTGCGCAAAGCGGTGGGGCCATCTCCACTTGCTCGGCAGTGAAGACAAGATGGCGGAGGCTCCTTGGCCGAAGGCAAGATGGCGGAGGCTCCTTGGTCAGCTAGGGTGCCACCTGGGTTGGCTTGGTCCATGGCCATTCCAGCCAGAAGTGGGCTTGTGCTGAGACTCCTTGGAAGGCACTTGTCTGACCGGCCAGGGTCAGCCCTTCTGCAGCCAATGAGCTGGACTGCCAAATTGAGGAAGACCTTCGCCCTGACATCTAAGAAGTGGTCTTGGCCGCCTGTTATGCGCTATTCTGAGTGGGGGTCTCCAAACACGGCCATTTTCAAGATTTGGCTGGGGAATTCCGGGAATTGAAGTCCACCAGTCTTAAAGTGGCCGTGTTTGGAGACCCCCGAGCTATTCCATCTACCCCCACACCTCAAATGTCACTGAAGCCAAGGGCAACATGGAGGAGCCAACAAGGAAGGTCTGAGATGGCCAGCAGATCTGGACACCGTCTTCCCTGGCCACAAATGCCCACATTTGGGGTCTCTGGGTGGTCTGTGGGCAAGTGCTTTGCAGGAGGGGGCGGCTGCCCTGCTGCTTGGGCTTGAGGGAAGCTGAAAAGTCACGTACAAGGATGTAACACTCCTCCCCATTCCAAATGGGGTTCTTGGCACAAAAGCAGCCAGGAGGAGGGGAAGCCGTGATGTCTCTGGGTCTGGGAGAATCGGAAAAAGCCAAGAGGCCAGCAGCTCTCCCTTTAAAACAGGGGTCCCCAAACTTGGCAACTTTTAAGACTTGTGGACTTCAACTCCCAGAATTCTCCAGTCAGCCGTGTCTGTTTCTTTTTTCTCTTAACCTCCCAAAGGGGAGAGATTGCAGAAAAGGGGATTACAAGAGAGTAAGCTACGCTGACTGGAGAATTCTGGGAGTTGAAGTCCACAAGTTGCCAAGTTTGGGGACCCCTGCTTTAAAAGAGGGGGGCTTCCATTGCATAGGCTGTCCACCCTCCTGAACTTTTTTGGACCCAATGACGTCGGGCAAAACCTCAGGCCCCAACAACAGAAACCTCTTAGGCGAGTCCCATTCTTTCCATTAAAAATTGGGGGTTTGGGGAGTTTTTAAAACAAAGATCTCATTTTTCCAACGAGTTTATTTGGAAAGAGCTCCTATTCCCTTTGTCCACAAGAGGAAAATGCTTCCCCATCCTGGCTTCCTACAGAAAAGCTGAGCGGAGCTGCTCAAAGGCTGAGAAATCGGATTTGTAAAAAATGGATCGCTAAGGAACAGGGTGGCCATTAAAAAAGAGAGAGAGAGAGAGCAGATTGTGTTTCAAATGTGGCCAAAGGAGCAAGAGAAGAAGGCCGTCTTTCCGGAAAGGAGACAAAGTGGGGGCTGAAACGGGGGGCCGGGGCCCCCCCCCCGGGGGGGGGGGGGGGGGGTTTGTAAATGTTTCCCTTTGAAAGTGTCAATTGTTCCCTTTAAACCAGGAGTGTCCAACTTTGGTCCCCCTTAAGACTAATGGACTTCAATTCCCAGAATTCCCCAGCCAGCCATGCTGACTGGGGAATTCTGGGAACTGAAGTCCGGAAGTCTTCCAAGGTGGCCAAGGTTGGACTTCCCCCTGCATTAGTGCTTCATTGCCAAGGTGTGTCGAGGAACCTGGAAGTGCTGACCGATCCCTGGCCTTGGCCTTCCTGGAAGGCTCTCTGGGGCTCTGAGCTTCCAGCTCCAGGAGTAGTCTTCCCCAAGAGAGCCAGGCTCCTCCAGAGGGGAGGAGGTACCACGGAGCAGTCCTGCACGCTGCATCGTAGTGATCCTTCGGCAGCCATGCTGGTTGCCGGAAGCCGCTCCGCCCCCTCCTCACGGTATCCGGGCACAGGCCCCGCGCCCTGCCATTCCCCCCCTCTCCACCCACCCAGGGCCGCCACGCGTCCCGTGGCCCCTCAGGAGTGGTGGCTGGTGCTGATGAGGCTACGGAGCTGCTTGGCCACGGCCTCGATCAGCTTCTGCTTGTCCCTCTCGTTCTTCCGGAACTGGGCGAAGACGTTGTTCTTCCGGCTGGTGTCCTTCATCCTTGGGGCAGGCGGGGGGAAAAAAAAACACACCCCGTCAGACACGAGAACATACACACACGAGACCACGCAAACGCACAGGCGCACACACTCACACGCACAGCAGGGGCCCTCTTGAGCTATGGGGACTTTCCTCGGGGAGAACTGGGGCAAAAGGGGTCAGGGGTCTGCCCGCCAGAAGCTGAGGTCGCCCCACTTCAAGGAACCCCCTGACAGAGGCATCTGGAGTGGTGGGATTCAAATTTTTTTACTACTGGTTCTGTGGGCCTGGCTTGGGCGTGGCACAGCTTGGTGGGTCATGGCAGGGAAGGATATACTGCAAAATCCCCCTTCTCTCCCCACCCCACTAGCCTGCCTTCCAGCTCCGTTCTCCTGTGCAGGGCAACCAAAGAAGATCCAGCCGATCAACTGGGACTCAATGGGAGACAGAGAAGAGATGGGGGTTGGCGGGGCCCGTCAGAGGTGGGATTTTCCAGTTCTCCAAACGACTCAAAATTTCCGCTACCAGTTCTCCAGAACCGGTCAGAACCGGCTGAATACCCACCTCTGCATCTGGTACAGAACGAGCTTAATTGTGGAAATGGCCACCGTGTCATCACAAACGCAACTTAGACCTGTGTCTTCCCACCTTGGCCGCTCGAAGATGGGTGGAGTGCAACTCCTGCTGGCTGGGGAATTCTGGGAGTTGAAGTCCTCCCCCCCCCCCCGCCCATCTTCATGGGGGCCAAGGTGGAGAAAGGCTGTTTTGGAAATCTATCAGGCAGGAAATGAAGAGGGGAGGAAGTAGAAGAGGTTGGCGGGCCCCTCCATCTACACAACGGGCAGAAGCAGCCCCCTGAAGGCGGCTCTCCCTGGCCTGCAATGAGAACGCCCCGTGGGTTCACTCCTTGCCCAGGACACTGTGGGGCTCAAGGCACCCCAGCAGAAGGTAGAAGGGAGGCCCCTTGGTGGCCAGAAGGAGCTCTGGAGATCCAGAAGCTGATGGCACAGACTGAGATGGGCAACGCAGGGCTTCCTTTCCACCTCCAAGACGGGATGAACGGCAGGGCAGGAGGAGAGCTGGCTGGATGAGATGCCTCTCTGGGGCCCTGGCCCGGCCAGCGAGGTGGGGATAAGCGGAGGGAGCGGCCAGCGTCTTCTGCAGCCACAGAGCCCTTCCCACGGCTGGGGAAGACACACCTCTAGGGGTCTCAGAGGGGCTTGGCCTCTTGCATGCGCCTCTTGTGGGGTGGCCCTTCCTGATGCGTGGGCTATGATGCACCATCTTTAGAGGAGAAAGTAAGGTATCAAACCCGACTCTGGGGTGCAGCGCTTATCTCTGTTTCTTGGTTGAGGGAGCCAGCGTTGTGTGAGGACAATTTCCATGGCCGGTGTGGCTACACAGAGAGGCTCACAGAACGCTCTTAGCTTTCCCCCAAAGTGGTACCTATTTATCTACTTGCATTCACATGCTTTCGATCTGCTGGTGGGCAGGAACTGAGGCAAGGAATGGGAACTCATTCCGTCTTGTGGAGCTTGAGTCTCGAACCTGGGCTGTCAGCTCTCCAGCTGACAAGCTCAGTGGCTTTGACCGCTGTGCCACGGCGTCGAAAGTGGCTCAGCGATCACAGCCTTCGGCCTGGGGATGAAGTCCACCAACCGGGGCATTTGAAATATATGCTACGATTTGCAGGGCTTGACCAAAATCAACCCCTTGCAGGCTCTATTGGGGTTCCACGCCACAGGTAACAAGGGGAAACGATGGGTCCAAACTCTCAGCCCCAACCGTACATACAGAGTGACCGCCAGCCCAGAAGCAGCATTTGGCTCAATGTCTCTGGAGACGCTCCGTCATCCAGGCTCAGAGTTGCCCCAAATGGTGCTGGACTTTCTTGATTTTTTTCTTTGAAAACCTTTCGCTTGCTCGTCCAAGAAGCTTCTTCAGTTCTGGGTGAAGTTATAACTCGAATAGTCAGAACTGAAGAAGCTTCTTGGATGGGAAGTGAAAGGTTTTCAAAGGAAAGAAAAAAATCAAGAAAGTCCAGTTGCCTTTTGGCTAAAGCACCTTTGGGACATTAGAAGACTCAAGTTCCAGGACGAGTCCTGGGCACCCCTTGCCTTTGTATGGGCTGAGGATGCCAGCCAAGCCACCCCACGCATACTTACTCTCGGGAGATCCTGCCAGGAGGAGGGAGGGGGTGGGGAGGAAGGAGAGATAAACCAAAGGAGAAGTTAAGCAGCGGCTGGTACAGCTGTCTCTCCTATTCCTGGCTCACCCACTGCCCCCAAGAGGCCATGCAAGCCCTGCAGCACGGAGAAGAGGTAACGGGAAGGGCAGCCAAGGCCGAAGGGCAGCAGTCTGACTAAGTCTTTGCAGGTTCTCCTAAGGACCACGGGGGAACTTGGAGCCTGACCGAGGAGAAGGTGAAGCCCTTTGGTTACAGGACCTCTCATTGCCCCAGGCGGTGGCCCTCGGCCCCACAGTCCTTGGACCTGGTCCCAAAGAGCCTCAACGGCCATCCGTCCCAGCAGCCAAAGTGGCACATGCAAGCACCAGCGAGAGACCCCCCTCCTTTGCCAGCCCAGCCCCTTCCTGCCCCCAGCTCTGCTCCTGCAGGGTAACTGTCCGACAGGGGTCTTGCCCGGTCCTGTTCTGTCCCAGGCTTCCCCAAAAAAGCACTAAGCAGACTCTTTGTCACGACCAAACCCCTTTTATTAAATGAAGGTGAATTTCTTGCATTCACATTCAGCCAAAGACCTGGCAAACAGTCTTTCAGGGGTATAATTAGGAGCTCAAACCTTATCTATCTCAGAAAGCTGCCTGGTAAATATGTCCAAACGCAGTGCTGACAAGGAAGGGCTCAGCACAGAGTTTCTGAGATGCACAGACAGATCTTCACACTGATGCAACGACGAATCGTTTTCTGCAAAAAAAACAAAACCTCCCCTTTTGCTCTTCTTTTAATCCCTATGGGAAGTGGCATTCACCGTCCACTTGTGGCTTTACTCCCACGTCGACCCTTAGTTCGTAACAGTTTTCTTTTGGCAGTTCTGCAGTTCTGGAACCGGCTCCAGCTGCTCCCCCGCCTCACTGTTGTCTGAGCCCGAAGACAGCTGATGACTGCCAGACTGCCCTGGCCCCCATCTCTGCCTCTGATGCAGAGCCCTCATCTGAGCCTTCCTCAGCCTCCAGGACTGGCCCAGGTTCCTCCCCAACCTCCTCACTACTGTCTGACTCTTGCTGCTAGCTCCGCCAGCTGCTGGCAGGCCACGACAGGTTCAAGGACCACACAGGGAAGGTCCTCCTGTCACCTTCTCCCAGGGGCCACGCAAGGAGGACCCCCCCCAAAGAAAAGGCCTCCAATGCACTCACACGTGGCCCTCACCCCAAGAATCTCCTCCTCCCTCACCAATACTTCAAAATCGCATGAAGTGTTAGTACCACTTTATAAAGCCTCAATAAGGCCACATCTGGAATGCTGCAAGCCAGTTTTGGTCACCAGGTTACAAAAAAGATGTTGACCCTTTGGAGAAAGTGCAAAGTAGAGCAACTAAAATGATTAAAAGCCTGGAGACTAAAACATATGAAGAACCGTTGCAGGAGTTGGATTTGGCTAGTCTAGAGAAAAGAAGGACTGGGGGGGGGGGGGGGGGGGGTTGGGGAGGGGGGGAGAAAGGAGTGGGGGGGGGGGGGGGGGGACATGATAGCAGTATCCCAATATTTGAGGGGCTGCTGCAAAGAAGAGGGGAGTCCATCCATTCTCCAAAGCCCCTGAAGGCAGGACAGGACACAATGGATGGAAACTAACCAAGGAGAGAAGCAACCTGGAATTGAGGAGAAACTTCCTAACAGGGAGGACAATTAACCAGTGGAACGACTTGCCTTCAGAAGCTGTGGGTGCTCCATCCCTGGAGCTTTTCAGGAAGAGATTGGCCAGCCATTTGTCCAAAATGGTAAAGGGTCTCCTGCTTGATCAGGGGGTTGGACTAGAAGACCTCCAAGGTCCCTTCCAGCTCTACTCTGATGGATTGACTGACCGATTGAATCCCAGGCCTTTTATCCCCATTGGCCAGTCAGCGTGCATTGGAGACACAACCAGCCACAGCTGCAAGCATCGCCATAAGCAGAAGCTGTCATGCAAGGCTGGGCCCGTCACGAAGCAAGCCATACCCCCGGCCACCCACCCTCCACCCCAGGCATCCTGGGCAGCAAAGGAGGCAGCAAAAGCGAGGGGGGGAGGGGGTGGTCAGCGCCCGGAAGGACACACTCACTTTTCCAGTAAAGCCAGCGCGGTCGTCGGATTCACCCGAAGGTACTTGCAGGTGGGCTGCCCGTAGTCAGCCAGGTACGTCGACCAGTCCCACTGGAGAAAGAGATCCAGCAGCTGAAAGAGGAAAAGGCGGGCCCTGAGACAACCTCGGAAAGCTTGAGAGGCTGTGTCCTTCAAAACCTGTAAAATGACCATCGCTACGACAGCGTACCAGGACACAGAAGGCTGAATGAAGGCATCCCTCTTGGGATTCAACCTCAGGCCTCCCCTAAGCTCTCGCAACAGGTTTCGATGAACGCTAAACCTCTCGGATAGAGTTCCCGAAGGTGCTTTTCCAAAAGACAACAGGACTTTCTTGGTATTATTTCCACCACCACCCCTTTGGAAAATATTTCGTTTCTCATCTAAGAAGCTTCTTCAGTTCAACCTTAACCCAGAACTGAAGAAGCTTCTTGGATGAGAAGCGAAACCTCTTCAAGGAAAAACAACCAAGAAAGTCTGTGGAGATTTCTCAGTCCTCTAGGTCATGGTGGCCCCAAAGGTGCTTTTTTCAAGAGGCAACTGGACTTTCTGTTTTGTTTTCTTCTTTAAAGATGTTTCGCTTCTCATCCGAGAAGCTTCTTCAGTTCAACCCTAACCCAGAACTGAAGAAGCTTCTTGGATGAGAAGCGAAACCTCTTCAAGCAAAAAACAAGCAAGAAAGTCCAATTGCTTTTTTGGAAAAAAGCACCTGGATGATGGAGACTCTGCATGGACACCTTGAATGGATGGCAGCCACCTGAGCAAAATGAGTGGACTGCCCACGCGCTGACCTTGGATCCCTTCTTTCTGGGTCCGAACAGGCCCCATGTCTTGCCAAGAAACTCCTCCAGCAATGGGTGAGCTGGCTAGAGGATCTTTTGGGGAGCTCCAGGGGTTTATGTGTGTGTGTCTGTGTGTGTGTAAGTTTCTACGTAAATCCAGCTGAAAAATGGAAACGGAGAAACCAGATAAACCGATGTCTCGCCTCTTGAAGGAGGCTTGGGGGGCAGAAGCAGGCTGGAGATCTGCAGAAGACATCACGGAGAGAACGGAGCTGCAGCCTCCGTGATCCAGGCCAGGGGTCTCCAACTTGGTCACTGTAATTTTAACCAGTGGAACAGCTGGCCCTCCAGAAGTTGTGGGCGCTTCATCACTTTTTGGGAAGAGACTGGACAGCTATTTGTCTGAAATGGAATAGGGAACTGATGGCTAACCTTTCCCACATTTGCGTGCCAAAAAGAGCGCACGCTTGCGCACCTGCACCCATGATGCAATGTCCGTGCGACCCCCACCACCACCACACACCTCTGCGCATGCGCACACAACCCCCTCCCCGGCACGCCTCTGAGCATGCGTGCGCGGCAGATACCCGACCATCAGCGGGCTGGTGGGGCGTGCGCGCGCACATACGTAGTGAGCCTCTTCCGGGTGACCTCTCTGCGTGCCACTTCTGGCACGCGTGCCAAAGGTTCGCCATCGCGGGTATAAGATCTCCTGTTTGAACAGTGGGGGTGGTCTAGAAGTCCTCCAAGGTCCTTTCCAACTCTCGTTATTCCGAGTCCAGGCTCCGCCAGCCAAGACCAGCAGGCGGGCACAGGTGAAGAAGGATGGCCAGCAGCTCTGCCATCCCTCGGCCCATCCGTCTTGTGGACACGCGGTTGGGGCCGGGAGGGCTCTGCGGCTGGGCTGCCACCCACCCACCCACTTTCCTTCACACGCACGTGGAGAGCGGCTGCAACAACACACAACCGGGATGGGAGGCCTGACAAGGGCTGGAGGATTTATGCGGCCCAGAAATGGGGACTTACTTTCTTCCTTCTCCCCCTTTCAACTTTTCACCTCCTAAGTGGGGGGGCGGGGGGCGGAGAGGGAGGGTCCTGAGTGAAGACACCGTGTGGCTCTTGCACCCACCCGGCCACTGTCGGCTGGGGCAGATTCCAAAATAAAGGTTATGCAAATGCCATTAATCCCTCCCTGTTCAGGGCCATCCATCCCCCTTGGCAATGCACCCTCCCCAACAGACACACACACACACACACACACAGACAAGCGCACACGCCTCGTTGGGAAGGAGCCCCCACTCCACCCCCTCAGCCTGCTTGGCTGGGGAGAGAAGCCTGGCCTGCAGCAGGGAGGACAACAGCCCCCGCCCTGGGGTATGGTGGGGACACATGGGGAGGGGGCTGCTGGCTTCTTAAGGAGGGGAGGGGTGGAGCTGGGGGGACTCGGGAGAGCCCATGTCTGGTGAAAGGTGTCCTGGAGGAGAAGCCCAGGAGGAGACACAGAAGCTCTCCGGTCCCCACCCCCCCCATGGTTGGCTCACACATCAGCTGCCCCCCCCCCCCACAGGATGAAGCGCCCAGGTTCCTTCCTCACTCCTCACCCACACCTGGCCAGGAGTCACCTGCAACATGGATGGGATTTGGGGAAGAGACCTGGAGAAGCCATCCCAGGGGAGGCAGGGTGGCTGGACCAATCTATAAGCTGAGAGTTTATTCCTTTCCTTTCCTTTCTATCCCTTTCCTTTCTTTCCCCTTTTTTTCTTCCCTTCCTTTCCTTTCCCCTCCTTTCCTTTCCTTTCATTTCATTTATTTCCCCTTTTTATTGTCCTTTCCTTTCCTTTATCTTCCTTTCTTTCCACTTTTTATTTTCCTTTC